AGGAATCCAAAGAGGACCACACCAAGACACATCATCATTAAAATGCCAAGAGCAAAAGACAAAGAGAGAATCTTAAAAGCAGCAAGGGAAAGAAACTCAGTTACCTACAAGGGAGTACCCATACGACTGTCAGCTGATTTCTCAACAGAAACTTTGCAGGCCAGAAGGGAGTGGCAAGAAACATTCAAAGTGATGAATACCAAGAACCTACAACCAAGATTACTTTATCCAGCAAAGCTATCATTCAGAATTAAAGGTCAGATAAAGAGCTTCACAGATACGGAAAAGCTAAAGGATTTCATCACCACCAAAACAGGATTATATGAAATGCTGAAAGGTATCCTTTAAGAAGAGGAAGAGGAAGAAAAAGGTAAAGATACAAATTATGAACAACAAATACGCATCTATCAACAAGTGAATCTAAGAATCAAGTGAATAAATAATCTGATGAACAGTATGAACTGGTGATTATAATAGAATCAGGGACATAGAAAGGGAATGTACTGACTATTCTTGTGGGGGAAAGGGGTGTGGGAGATGCGGGAAGATACTGGACAAAAATCGTGCACCTTTGGATGAGGACAGTGGGGGTGAGGGCAGAGGGTGGGGGGTAGGGAACTGGGTGGAGGGGAGCTATGGGGGGGAAAAAAGAGGAACAACTGTAATAATATGAACAATAAAGGTTTAATTTAAAAAAAAATACGTATTTCAGCCCTATCTGGTTTGGCTCAGTGTCGGCCTGTGGACTGAAGAGTACCAGGTTCAATTCCGGTCAAGGGCATGTACCTTGGTTGTGGGTACATCCCCAGTAGGGGGTATGCAGGAGGCAGCTGATCGATGTTTCTAACTCTTTCTTCCTCTCCCTTCCTCTCTGTGAAAAATCAATAAAGTGTATATATATATACTACATTGATCTTTCACAGAGAGGAAGGGAGAGGGATAGAGAGCTAGAAACATCGACTAGAGAGAAACATCAATCAGCTGCCTCCTGCACACGCCCCACTGTGGATGTGCCCGCAACCAAGGCACATGCCCTTGACCGGAATTGAACCTGGGACCCTTCAGTGTGCAGGCTGACGCTCCATCCACTAAGCCAAACCAGTCAGGGCAATAAAGTATATTTTTTAAAAAAATACATATTTCAGAGAGGAAGGGAGAGGGAGAAACATCCATGAGAGAGAATCATTGATCCGCTGCCTCCTGCATGCTCCACACTAGGGATCGAACTCACATTCCAGGCATGTGCCCTGTCCAGAATCAAACCCAGGACCTGTGCATCCACCGGTCAATGCTCTATCCATTGAGCCAAACCGGGTAGGGCTATCATACCCTTTTACAATGAGCTGGTAAACAGTAAGTAGTGTTTTCCTAAACCTTGTGAGCTGCCCAAGCAAATGAGCTGGACCTGAGGAGGGTCATGGGAAACTCTGACGTACAGCGGATGGGTCAGAAGCACAGGTGACAACCTGGACTTGAATGACCTCTGAAGTGGGGGCAGACTTATTGGCTGAGCCCTTAACCTGTGGGCCTGAGCTCTCTCCAGGTGAATGGTGTCAGAACTGAGCTAAATGGTGGAACACCAGCTGGTGTCACGGGATGGCCTGGTGTTAGGAGCACTGTGTCAATGTGAATGAGAAACCCAGGAGGACTGGGTTCCCCACACAGAACAACACTGAAACTCTCGGGTACTCTTAACCCCTTCCCGTTACTCTACCCTCACACCTAAGTTTTATTCCTAGTTAATACCTGTGGATGACAATCAGGGCCTATTCTACATCTCACATACTCTCCTTAACCTCTCCTCATTGATAGCTGTACTATGTGTACAAGGTTGCCAAGAAATTTGGAAATATAAATGAATACATATGAATGGTTTGTTGATACATTTCAGTACATTATAAATAACTAGAGGACTGGTGCACAAAATTCATGCACTCAGGAGGGGGTCCCTCAGCCCAGCCTGTGCCCTCTTGCAATCTGGGAGCCCTTGGGGGATTCCAACTGACAGCTTAGGTCCGCTCCCCACAGGAAGCGGACCTACGCTGGCAGTCGGACATCCTTAGCATTGCCATGGAGACAGGAGAGGCTCCCGCCAGTGCCACCGGACTCACCAGCTCTAAGCCTGGCTCAGGGCTTCTGGCTGAGAGACACTCTTCCTGTGGGAGTGCACTGACCACCAGGGGGCAGCTCCTGCATTGAGCGTCTGCCCCTTGGTGGTCAGTGCACATCATAGCAACCGGTCATTCTGCTGTTCAGTCAATTTGCATATTAGCCTTTAATTATATAGGATAGTATCTATTTCCAGGCGTTATGGCCACCCTGTATACTGTGGAAGCACATAGCTACCACATACTACACTGCTTCCATTATAACCACCATTTACTCTTAGCCATGCAGGTAAACAGAAGTTAACCGTCACCACTAGGGAGAGACACTGATGTCTCTTCAGTTGCTCTGATTGCCTGCAGCTTGTCCTCTGGACTCCTCAGGAAGTGCTGTTACCCAGAATAGTTTCTTTGCCCGGCCGGCGTGGCTCAGTGGTTGAGTGGTGACCTATGAACCAAGAGGTCACAGTTCGATTCCCAGTCAGGGCACATGCCTGGGTTTTGGGCTTGATCCTCAGTGCGGGGTGTGCAGGAGGCAGCAGAGCAATGATTCTCTCTCATCACTGATGTTTCTATCTTTCTCTCCCTCTCCCTTCCTCTCTGAAATCAATAAAAATGTTAAAAAAAATAATAGTTGTGTTTTATGGTGTATGGGGGAGATAAATAGCAATTTCCAATAGAGGGAGGCTTAGATCCTCCCAGGAAACAAAGCAGGCCAGTGTGCTGTACAGGATTGCCTGCACTAGGTTCTGTCATCGTCCTGTTCCATGTCCAGCACCAGCTCCTCACCTGCCTCAGCCAGCCCACAGCACACCTGGGCTCCAGGGAATGAAGGAGGACAAGGAGTCACGTGAGGACCACGGCCAAGATATGCTTTTCTTTCCAGGGACAAATCTGAGTCAGCTGCTTTTTAAAATATTATTCCTTTGTTGTCGTGTCTGGGAAGATAAAGCAGTGGCCCCTACAAACAGGCCTCAGCAGTGCTGCCTACCGACTGTGCCATGGCATTATCTGGTTCTGTACTCACTTTGCCTTTCACCCTGTGAAGCAGGGTTCCGCCATCGCCACGCGAGTCTAGTGCCCAGTGCCACCCAGCTCCTATGTCCCCATGTAAGTAAGGCCTCGACCCCAGGTCTGGCTCTCAAGTCCATACTACACGGCGCCACACTGCCCAAGAACACACCTCTGGGGGACCCTGGCTTGTCACTCGTCAAAGACCACCTGGAAGTTGATAAAAGCGGGGTCAGTTATGCTAGAAGAAAAGGGTTGCTGCCCATCCGCGTGGCTCAGCAGTTGAGCATTGACCTAGGAACCAGGAGGTCACGGTTCGATCCCAGTGTGGGGTGTGCAGGAGGCAGCCAATCAGTGATTCTCTCATCGTTGATGTTTCTCTCTCTCTTCCTCTCTGAAATCAATAAAAATATTTAAAAATAAAAAAAGGGTTGCTATTCAGCTAATTTTCTCACATTTACATACTCTTAGCTTCTAGGAAAGAAAGGTCAGGGTAGTGTCATCCAAGGAAGGAAGGAGCCCAAGGTGCCTGCCTGCTAATTGAGAGGTTGTCTCCAAGGCCAGCCTTCTGCAGTTGCCAGGCAACCAATGTAAACAGCAGGAAGTCGCAGGATCATGGCCACTAACTACAGTGCCAACCAGGTAAGTTCTCTTTTTCCATCTCTTTAACGTTTTTAATTTTGCCTTCAAAATTCTACCTTTGGACTGACACCTCCCCTAGGATTCTGGTCACTGAATGGAGGGCTGGCTGAGGGGGGTGAGGGAGAATTTCCCAGCTCCTCAGGGTAGGGAGGGCCCAGGGACCAGCAAAGGGCATCTCTGGGTTGCTTGTAAGGTCTAAACCAGTGGTCAGCAAATTTTCTGTAAAGGGCCAGAAACTAAACATTTTAGGCTTTGTGGGCCAAGTGGCAAAATGAGAAAGTACAATTACATAACAACAGAAAACACAAAATTCAGAGTGTAATAACTATGTGCCACTGTTTATAACACTAACGAAAAGAATGGATTCTTTTGGGAGAAACATTTTGCTTGACTGGGATACAAATTTAGTGTTCCCTTTTCTCAAATCAACTGCAAATGTTCATCTATAAAAACCGTTCTCCGCTCTCTCAAGCAGTCGGGGCGGATCCGGCTCACGGCGGTTGCTGACCGCTGGTCTAACAAAAAGATAGTGCGAATCACAAATGCAAGTTTAACTTCCTAGCAGCTACATAAAAGTTTTAAAATGGTTAATTTTAATAATCTCATTTAGCCCAATAAATCCAAAATATTATTTCAACATTTAATCATCAATATTTTAGAAGTTACAATCAAATGTTTTACGTTCCCTTTTTTGTACCAAGGCCTTCAAATCCCGCGTATTTTTTGTTTACAAGGACCTGTGTGGACTGTCACATTTCAAGTGCTCAGTAGCTGCCACGTGTGGCTAGAGCAGCGGTTCTCAACCCCTTTCACAGGGGTCGCTTAAGACCATCGGAAACACATATACAATTACATATTGCTTTTGTGGTTAATCACTATGCTTTAATTATGTTCAATTTGTAACAATGAAAATACATCCTGCATATCAGATATTTACATGACGATTCATAACAGTAGCAAAATTACAGTTATGAAGTAGCAACGAAAATAATTTTATGGTTGGGGGTCACCACAACATGAGGAGTTGTATTAAAGTGTCGCGGCATTAGAAAGGTGGAGAACCACTGGGCTAGAGGCTCCATTAGGACAACACACATTTAGCCCAAACTACACCCGCTTACTGCCCCCCAGGCAGCACAGGCCTTTGATCCTCGAATCCAACGAACTCTGTGGCTGTCATCTCCGGGCGGGGCCTGGAGCTCAGAGGGCTTCCCCCCTTTCTCTCCACAGTACGAAAAAGCATTCTCACCCAAGTATCTGCAGAACTGGTGTCTCGCCAAGCCAACGAAAGAGGTATCCACGTGTTTCTACATTGCTCACTGCCACCAGCCTCCTCCCCACATCCTCCACTCCCTCAGCCCTCACTCAAGCCCTGAGACTCCCTCCACTCTCCCAGCGCTTCTCTTCCACTTTCCCCCAGACCATTCCTGCCCACGAAGGCTACACTCAGATTATCGCCAACGACCGGGGCCATCTGCTGCCTTCAGTGCCCCGTTCCAAGGTGAGACACTCGCCTCCATTCTTACCAACTGGAGCACTGGGGAAGGTGCGGTCTGCTGCTGCCTGGGAAGCTAAGTCCAGTCTCATTCACACTGGAACACGAGTGCCCCCAAGCTGCCAGCCAGCCTACCCACAGGGCAGGGTATTAGCACCAGGTCCCTGCACGATGGGTGACCTGTGTAAAACGGATGCCCACGGCGGTGATGCTTCTGCGGTGGGCACGCTGCCGAACAGACCGAGGACGCAGAAGTGAAGCCAGCAGAGGTCAGGCCACGGAACAGGGTCACTGAGTGGGGGGAGGGGCTCACTTCCAGTCGTTTCATTGCCACCCAATCCCAAAGGAAAAGGATGGAAACCAGATGGATACAGGGTCTGCCAGGGTCTGCCACTGCCAGGAGTGAGAAGTCCTGCTTCTTCCTTTTAGGCAAGTCCTTGGGGTACCTTCATGGGCACCTGGGAGATGCCTCTGAAGATACCCCCTGCTCGGGTGACCCTGACGTCCCGTACAGCTGCTGGTGCTGCCTCCCTCACCAAATGGATCCAGAAAAATCCTGACTTACTCAAGGCCTCCAATGGGCTTCGTCCAGAAATCTTGGGCAAGGTACCTACTCATCCCACCTAACCTCCAATCCCAGCGTCTCAATTTCAACCCAATGTTATGCCTCTGCTACTCCAGCAGAGGGACCTCTAACCATCTGTCTTGCGGTGTAGTCCCTCAGCACCTGGGTGCTTAAGGGCTGAGCTAAGGACATCTGCCCCCAAGCACAAGGCCATCTGACCGCACCAGGGTCAGTGCATCAGCTCTAACTCTTCTTGTTTGGAACAGGACCTTTGGCCCATGGTGTGGGGAGAGACACTTAGAGTCCTCTGGATCGGGAATGACTAGGCCTGACCAGGCTCTCTTCTGTTCCACCCGACAGCCCCAGGACCCAGCCAGTCAGAAGAAACCCCAGAACTCTGTCCAGCAAGCTCCAAGTCCAGCCATCATCCCAAGGTCCCCAGCCACAGACCTCAGTTCCCCAGATCAACCCCCCAGTGCACACCCCTCGGCAGGTCACACTCCAGGTCCCCTCAGCCCAGCCAGCACTCCCAAGTGCCCACCCGGAAGCCCATGCACGTAGGACCGGGTGGGTCCTACTCGAGCCGGGCCAGGAACGCAAACCTGGGACTCTGCGGGCCCACTGAAGCAGCCTGTCTAGAGATGAGTGAAGGAAGAGCCCGTCGGGGAAATGACAGGAATAAAGGTGAATTTGGGAAATAATTACCACTGTTGACTCTTGTGCTGATTTTGATTTTTCCCGCCTGCCTCTTATCACCAAGAACCAGAAGGGTGGGGGAAGGGGAAACATGACAAAGGCTTGGGGGCACATTTGTACAAGGACCAAGCTGGTTACACTCCAGAAACGGCCAGAAGTCGGTCGGAATCACAGCACCCACTCCCACACCCGATTTTCCTCCCGAGCACCCCAAGGACTCTCCCTGGACACCGCGCAGCGTGCGCGTCCAGAATCTGAGGCCACTATCTGGAGCAGCCTCTTTGGTCTAAATTGCTATGGGCCATGTTACTGACCAGCAGGTAGCTGGCTCTCATGGCTGCTTGCAGAGCAGGTGTGCTGTGAGCCCCAGGCGCTGGCTCAGACGCTAGCTCCTACGCAGGAGGCTGCTTTGTGGGAAGGATGCCTTGTTCACCAGCCGGGTGCGGCTGCCTGCTTCTGGGACTGCTTGGAAGAACTGTTTGGTCAGATGGCTCCTTGTTAGCCATAGCTACTTGGGCTACAATAAAGACTCTCTTCTATGCCCACGACTTCTCATGTCTTCTCCGTCCAATACCCAGCGTCCCAGCAGGACCCAAGCTGGCGTCATCGAGCAGGAGGGAGTGAGTCCTCCCAACACTCCTTCCTTCTCGGAGGCGCCTGCGTGGCAGGACATCTCTGCTGCTTGTACCGAGTCCCTGAAAACCTTCCCAGCTGCAAAACAGACTGTTTCTCTCCTGAGAGAGGTCAGACTGGGGGACGGAAATGCCTGTGACCAGAGGGAAGCGGGGGACTGGCTCCTCCTCACCGCCATTCTCTTGGTTTCTCTAGATTTCAAGGAAGAGTCAAAGACAAAATTAGTATTTTAATCAATTTCAGAAAAAGATGTCACATGAATGTTGATTAGAAAACATGACAATTAGAGGCTTGTTTTTCTGGAATTGCAAGGAAAAGAAATAACCCTTAACAGGTTCAGCAATACTTCTCTGGATTTTTCTCTTGTATCAAAATCTATTTATCTTCTCCCCAAAGCACCTGCTTCAAAAGCCAACTCACCCTCTCTCTCTCCCTCGGGCCAGTACAGGCTAACCCCCCACCATGTGGGTGCTAAGGACCCTGGGTCTGACCAGTGAACAGAACTGTCCTTTAAGCCACAACCCACAGGCAGTGGCACCCAGAGCCCCACTCCCAGTCGGCATGGGAGAGGCCACAGAGCTGGCTTTGTTTCCACCGTCTCAGGAAGAGGAGCCAAGAGCTGACCCTCAGCACAAATCAAGGCCCAATATGGAGAGAATAAGGGCTCCTAGGCCCTGAGCAGGCAGCAAGCGGGGGCAGGAAGGGGGAGCTGCTGCAACACCCCATCTTTAGAAACAAGGGACCCTGGGACCCTTCTCACAGCTGAGCTCCAGGGACAGTGCAAGCACACAGGTCTGAACAGGCGAGAGCTGAGGAAATCAGGGAACTAATCATCTGGGGGAGGAGGAGCTGGGGCGGAGCTCTTCACATGGCGGCCAGCCCCACCGAGGACAGCACGGTGAGGAGCAGGACAGCCACCCCGGACTGGTACAGCTGCGGGACCTTCAGGCCTTTTCCCAGGTCCCACATCTGCAGAAAAAGGAAAAGAAAGCATTTCAGCAATCAGGACCCTGGTCACGGCCACAGCCCCCTTCCCAGAGGGAAACTGCACCTGGCCGGCAGCAGCCTCCAGCTGACTTCCAGGGAAAGCCCTTCCCTCTCCACACCGCCGCCACGGTGCCCACCCATGCAGCCCAGCCCGGCAAAGGCACCCGCGCCCTGTGGGCAAAAGTTTCCAGACGGAATCAACAAAGCTTTCCCATGAGGACAGGACAAAAGCAACGTTCCCCAAAGTGCGTTCTTTCAAAAACTCTCCTCAGAATGCTGAAAGGGTTACAGGACACACACACACACACACACCGACTCTCCTCAGAATGCTCAAAGGGCTGGGGGAAGGGGTGTGGTCAGATAAACCTGGTAAACATTTAAGTGCAAGACTTCCCAACAATTCATGGATGTGCACTGTGAGTGTCCAAAAGGGGGAGTTCATAGGCATGATCTCCCAGATACAGTCACACAGAGCCCTCTGGAGAAGGGCTATCGGCCCTGGGGCCTAGCTAGCATCTAGAAAAGACTCTGGAATCTAGAACACTATTTCTCAATTTTGTCTTGACTGTGACCCCCCACTAAGAAAAATTATTTATATGTATTTTAAATATTTGTACTGATTTTTAGAGAGGAAGGGACAGAAACGTCAATGAGAGTGTAACATCCACATGGACCAGCTGCCTCCTGCACATCACTACCGAGGACTGAACCTGAAACCTGAGCATGTGGCCTGACCCGGAATCAAACCGGCAACCTTCTGGTGCCTGGAACAATGCCCAACCCACTGAGCGACACCGGCCAGGGCAAGAAATGTATTTTTAATTAGTACCCACTTATGTTAAAGGAGAACCACAGACTCCCAGACACACCCTCTCAGCCAACCACCTGGAACTCGCTGGTCAGCACCAGGAAGGCCACCTGGCACCTGGGCCTCTCCACCCCCCACAGAAGAGAGTCAATCTGCAGGACAAAACCTCCTCCCCGCAGGGAAGGCCCGCCCCAACCCAAAAAACAACCCTTTCTTTCCTTTTGTCAACACCTCCCTTGCCGGACCATTCTTTCTATAAAAACCCTGCCCTTGACACAACCCCTGGAGACTCCTCCCAGCTGCTGGAGGGGATGCTGCCCACTCAGAAAGGCCTTAATAGAGCCAACCAGGTCTCTGAATGTACTCAACTGAATTTTATTAACATCTGCACAGAAGAAGCTTATGAAATAAAAACAACACTTATAATCACCACGTGCTGCCTTCTATGTGCAATAATCCACCTAACTTTCCTTTCTTGTTGGTAGCAGCCCAATCATTGGTTTTCTACTCTTTGGGTCAAAACCACAATTTAAAACACTGACTCAGACTCTCGTGCCCCGGTAATAGACACATTGTGCTCCGAGCTGCTGAAGGATGGATCCCTTATGATGAAAGGAAGGTCTTCAGATTCCACACTTTCCCACATGACTGCCCCCCACACACCCGCCCACACTCTGAATGTACAAGTAAAAGTGACTAAATTAGCAGCACTTCAGAGAAAATCAAAACGATGCCCCCCCTCAGCCCCAAACAGCTTCTCCCAGATCAGATTCATCAGGCCCAGTCTCACAGTGTGAGCCCTGCTGGGCGGGCGGGAAGGTGCTCTCTGGAGCACCAGGCATCAGCTCGGGGACAAGAGTCCCGGCTGCACAGAACAGACGCCGGCTCCACACTCAGCCGCACGGCAGATGTACGGGCGAAGGAAAGCCACATGCTCCGGCTCCGGGGCTCGGCGGCGTGGCGGCGTCCTGCCACCAAGAAAAGGTTGCGGGTTCAATGTTTCTCTCTCACATCAATGTTTCTCTTTCCTTCTTTCTCCTCCCTCCCTCCCTCTAAAAGAAAATCAGAATCAGCCAGGATTAAAAAACAAACAAACAAAAACCACACCTTAGTTCTGAGATTCTCTACCCCGCCCGCCCCCCCAGACTGAGAGGAAAGCGCACAGATGCAAGGCCCCGCCCGGCGGCAGTGCCGAGGAAGCTGGTCAGTGCTCCTGAGGCTCTGCTCTGGGGAAGTCCAGGGAGGTTCAGCCATCACTGAGGATACTGAGCGCTGTCCCAGAACAGCTGGCAGACACACTGGCCTTTGCAGTCATTTGTCTCCCACTTTTCTATTCTTTTAAATTGTCTATTGGACACGATTCAAACACACAAAGTGCTTGTCTCTAGGCTCTGACATGGAAGCTATAAAAGGTCAATTCAGGCGAAAGCATCCATGTGGCAGATGGCGCCGGCTGGGAAGTAACAGGAAACCAGACTGAACTGTATCTGTCTTCCTGGGAAATGAAGCCAGACCAGGGGAGGGGAGACACAGAATCTGAAATCTCAAAGGTGCTGGAGGAGGGAGTGATCTTTATAAAGAAGACACATGAGTCTAAACTGACCCCAGCCGTAACCGGTTTGGCTCAGTGGATAGAGCGTCGGCCTGCGGGCTGAAAGGTCCCAGGTTCGATTCCGGTCAGGGGCATGTACCTTGGTTGCGGGCACATCCCCAGTGGGAGGTGTGCAGGAGGCGGCTGATCGATGTTTCTAACTCTATCTCTCTCTGTCTCTCTCCCTTCCTCTCTGTAAAAAATCAATAAAATATATTTAAAAAAAAAAAAAGAAATAAAAAAACCCTGGCATCCTAGGCACCCAGTTTCTGTTAACAATGGCCTTGTTTTCTCCAGTAGTTAAAAATAAACAAAGACCAAAAACAGGTAATAAAATTCAATGTCAAGATAGCAAAAGTCAGCCCTGGCCATTTTTGCTCAGTGGATAGAGCGTCGGCCCGTGGACTGAAGGTCCCAGATTTGATTCTGGTCAAGGGCACGTACTTCAGTTGCAGGCTCAATCCCCAGCCGTGGTTAGGGTCGAGTGCAGGCGGCAACCAATCGGTGTCTCTCTCACATCAATGTACCTCTCTCTGTCTTTCCACCTCCCTTCCACTGTCTCTAAGAATCAATAGAAAATATCCTCGGGTGAGGATGAACAACAACAAAAAGATACAAAACTCAGTGTATTTTGACACCAGCCACACCTCTGGGCTGACAGGAATGTCAGACTGAAAGCAGCAACCACATTCCTCTGGCTCACAATGGAATCCCCGGGCCTGCAACAGTGCCTGAGCCAGGAGGCACCACGCCTTTGTCTAGACCAGCAGTTCTCAACCTGTGGGTCACGACCCCTTTGGCAGTCGAAGGACCCTTTCACAGGGGTCGCCTAAGACCATTCTAAATATCAGATATTTACATTACAATTCATAACAGTAGCAACATTATAGTTATGAAGTAGCAACAAAAATAATTTTATGGTTGGGTCTAAAAAGGGGGGGGGGGGGCAGAAGGTTGAGAACCACTGGTCTAGGAAATACGTCTTCCATGCCAGACGGATGGCCTGGCTTCAGGGGTCTCTTGTAGTAACAACCCTCTGAAAACTGTCAGGCCTAACACTGCTCAGCTCTGTCCCCAGCAGAGCTGCCCAGGAATCCCCTGAGCAAAGGCCCAGCACAAGTAACTCTCAGAACAGCACCGAACCCAGACAACGAAGGAGAGAGCCCTCCCAGCCTCTCCACTCCCTTCACCCGGGAAACGCCCGAATCTCAATGAACTTACCAAGTGTCGGATCCCGTTCCAGGTGTGATACATGAGAGGGAAGGCGAGAGCAAACTTGGCTGAATGGATCAGCACCGGCCCCAGACTCAAGGACTTCACCAGTTCCAGATGAGACTCAAAGTTCCCAGGGAGCAACAGGGCCGACAAGCCAAAAAGAGAGACCCCTGAGGAGACAACCACGAAAGCCCATCACAGCTGCCCACCAGCCACCACCGAGGTAATGTCTGAGCTGGCTCTGAAGCTCCCAACATGCTGAGCACCTGCATCAATGGCACAGTTCACTCACAGCTCCATTCCCCTGCACACTTATTGTTTGGCACCTGTGTCTGCTTTTCCTAATCACTCCTTTTATTACTATCTGTTCGTCATGCTAATTTACCCTTTCCCAGTCTTCCTCAGTTCTCACCTGCCGTTCTCAAGGGATTTACCTAGCTCATCCAGATTTCTACACCATCTTCACTGTGAAAAATCCTGAGTGTATCAATCCCCACAGAACCTAAGCAATGGAAGGGTGTTACTAGCCACCTCTTTTTATCTTTTAAAGAATTGTTTGTAAAGTTCTTTTTCAATAAATTCTATTTTAAAGTCAAACTAGTGTCACCATTCTTTTCAAGTTCAACATGCTTTCTGGAATTCTACATGGGCCACCACGTCTCTACAGTCTGAACAAATACCTCCTGTCTCGGCCAGCTGCTCTCCTACCCCCACGGCCACAGGACCAAGTCCCAGCGTGCGGACCAAGGCCACTCCGCGCTCTCTCTCCCACAGGCTCTGCTCTCCAGCAGCAACCCTAGTCATCACTCCAGCGACTGGCGCTTCCCATCCCTAGGCCTGTGGCTAAGGTCACTTCTCTACTGGAATGCCCTCCTCGACCTCCTTGTCATGACCTTTCAACTCATCCTTCCCTCGAGCTCCCCCACTCCTTCAGCTGGCCTCTCCCCTGGGGTCTCCTCTCTATTAAAGTTATCACAGTGCATAGTAACACTTGTCTTACTCCTTAGACTCCTCCACCCTTGAGGGGAGAGGCTATTAATAGCATTCCCCATTTCCAATGTGTAACCAGAGATTAATTAGAAGGTAGGAGGAATGAACAGTTCTTTCTGAAAGGACACTGCAAACATCCATTTATTTACTCATTTAGTAAATAAAGATTTCCTAAGTGCCAGAGCATCTGAGTGTAAATACGATAGACACAGTCTCCACTCTCTACAGTCTAATAAGAGACAAATTTATAAGAATTAAGCAAACAAAATAATTACAAATCCTATATAATAAAAGCCTAGATGGTGCTGCATGACAAAATCACAAGATGGCCACCCTCACGGTGTCACAAGATGGCGGCAGGGAAAGGCAGTTGGGGGTGAACAGGCCAGCAGGGGAGGGCAGCTGGGGGCAACCAGGCCAGCAGGGGAGGACAGTTGGGGGCGATTGGGCCGGTAGGGGAGCAGTTAGGCGTCAATCAGGCTGGCAGGCAGAAGCAATCAGGGGCAGTCAGGCAGGCGAGCAATTAGGATCCAGCAGTCCCAGATTGTGAGAGGGATGTCCAACTGCTGGTTCAGGCCCAATTCTACTGGGATCGGGCCTAAACCGGCAGTTGGACATCCCCCAAGGGGTCCCAGATTGGAGAGGGTGCAGGCCAGGCTGAGGGACACCCCCCACTCCGACCCCATGCACAAATTTCGAGCACTGGGCCTCTAGTTATATAATAAAAACTATGAAAGAAACAACCAGTATGATAAGAACTATGAAGGACAGTGCTGCGAAACTAAAAATTAGCAATAGATCTAGAAATAGAAGCTACTGCAGATATGGCAGTAAGCAAAGCACATCGAGATGACACTTTTGTGAGGAAACTACACACATGGCACAGGCTGGGAATGAAACCCGCAGCGGCTGTGCCCGGGGCCTGAGGGCCTGTGAGGAGGGAGCAGAGAGCAAGGGGGGCTCAGGCAGAGGCATCAGGGGGGCAGATTAGGCGGGCATTTAGGCAGCGGTGGAGGCCTGAATTTCAATCTAAGAGGAAAGGCAAATAATAGTAACAGAGCAGTAAAAATAAAAGATTCTAAGCCTGATATGATTCAAAAATATTTTTTAGAAATTTTTTCTTGCTGATGTGTGAAAAATAAATTGGAGGCGAGCCACAACATGCAAAGATCACGCTGCTGGGACTTATTCATTTCAGGCCAAATAAGCCTCGCTGCCATCTGGCCAGTGCACATCGCTCTCCGAGAGGCTGTTGCTATTCAATTGATCGTGTTTCTAATCCCTGGTCCTGTAAGTCAACATCCAGAGTCTAGTTTCTTGAAATCCCATCAATTCTGGGAGAGGCATTATTAATATACCATTTTATAAGGAATAAACTGAGGTTTAGAGAGTTGACGAAGTCGCCTAAGTCATCGACCTGGCGACCTCTGTTCCCTTCAGCACTGGAGGGCACATGGGGGCTGCTGCCACAGAGAACAGCTACTGCCTCCCGCCTTGGAGCCAGGGAGAACCGGGAAGAACAGGATACATGCTGCCTACATGGTCATTCAAAGGGGGTAAAGAAAAAAAACAAAAAAACCAAGTAATTACTAAGTACAGTTGTGAAAAAAATATATTTAATTTCAGCAAACGAATACTTTATCATCAGAGGCCATGATCAGACCGTTTCCATTCAGTGGTGATAGATACGCTTAGGCAACACAGGGAACTGAGTTGCCTAAGAAATAAGCTGCTCTTGTTCTCCCAGTGCTTGCAGGGTGAGGTTGCTCATCAATACCCCCCACTAAGCAGAAAGTATCCATTTAATAACGACAAGACTCAAGCAAGCAGAAATACAGCAATGATGAACTTATAGTTGAAATAGCCTAATCTTGAATGTATCCAGTTATTTCAGTGCAAATAGGTTAACCACCAGAAACCATCCCCGGATTCCCAGGTGACAGTTATCCTTATGCCTGGACTCCGTCCCTTCCCCAGCCCAAGGAATGACAGCATCAAATCTTTTTTTTATTGTTTTATTGCTTAAAGTGTTACAAAGAGTATTACATGTCTCATTCCCCCCCACCCCACTTGACAATCCCCTGGCCTCCCCTACCCCTCCGTGTCTTATGTCCATTGGTTATGCTTATATGCATGCATACAAGTCCTTTGGTTGGTCTCTTACCGCCCCCCTTCCTGCCCCCCAACCCTTCCCGGCTTTCCCGCTGTAGCTTGACAGTCTGTTTGAGGCTGCTCTGCCTCTGTATCTATTTTTGTTCATAAGTTTATAATGGTCTTTATTATCCATAAATGAATGAGATCATGTGGTATTTTTCTTTCATTGACTGGCTTATTTCACTTAGCATAATGCTCTCCAGTTCCTTCCTTCCTCTCTCTCCTCCAAGTTACATATAA